CTCCCAGAATTCCCCAGCCAGCATGGTTGGCTGGGGAATTCTGGGAGTTGAAGTCCACTCATCTTAAAGTGGCCAAGTTTGGACAACACTGCCATAAGCCCTTGTTTAAACAGAAAGCCCTGAATCCTGAAAATAGGATACGTACCACAATTTTCCTGTAGAGCGCCATCATGTTATCATCATCAAATGGTAGAAATCCAGAAAGGAGAGCATACAAGAGTACTCCCATGCTCCAAATATCTGCCTGGGATGATAAAAAAAGATAGGGTGATTAAAAACTCTGGCATGGCAACATCACATCCTGCTCAATTGTGAAACCGCTTTAGGAAGCTTCCAGAAGTCACTTTCAACCAGGAACCAGAAAACACAAACTGGTTTAAATCTTGTGATGCTCAGCTGGCTGCCAAGATGTCAAGGGTCAACCATTCCGTTCACCATACATAGCATATTCACCATACTTAGTATGATGAGCATGTCACCCCTGTGAAGAGGAAGAGTGCTGATCTTGGAGTTGGAGAGAGGTGGAACGATTATTCTTGCCAATAAATTTTTTAGAGGGTCACAGAAGCTCAGCACTGAAAAGCAGTGTTTTCTCTGCAGTCCTGCAGTTGGGAGTACCGACATGGAAACAAGGCTAAAAGTTATGTTGAAGGGAAACAACCCATTCTTGGAAGGGAAGCAGCAAACTTCAGCCTTTCTCTCCAGCTTCCAAAGTGTTCCAAAACCACAACTGCGGGCAGGGACACAGGCAGGCGCAGCAGTGGAAAGGAACACGTGAGGGAAGGGCTGATGCTGCCATATCACCTCGGCTGCGGTCCCAAGTCAGATATCACTTCAGTCAGCAGCACCACCACCACCACCTCCACCTCTGCCACCCTCTTCTTTCTTCCTCTCTTTAGTCAGGAAAAGGTGGTGAAGGGAGACGCTCAGAGGGCTCAGGGACATGGCTACTGCAATGTGGGGAAGAAGCGGCCATCTTCAATGACACAACCAGGGGAGCTTCAGCACTGGAGGGTCCCTTCTGAGAGGTTTGCTTATGCTCTCAGAAGGGATTCTAATTTCAGGACAATCTCCACTCTGTTCCAATGTGGGAGAAAGAGGCAGAAGTTCAGTAATTTGAACTGAATCCAATCCAATCCAAAACTGGGTCCTAGGAGAGCAGGAGATTAACTGTGGGTGTCTTCTAGGACCAGGAATCCTATCACTACACCTGCTTTTCATCACCCATGTCCTTCTGTTTGTCCACCAAGGCTGTCCAGACCTGACGAACTTTGCACAGCACGACCCAGAATATCCGCCATGCATGCTATCACAGGACAGCGTTAACACACAGCCTGCAGAGAACTAAACAAATGCAGTGGTTGGCCAGAGTTTGGGAAATAGACATACACTTGCATTTTAAAGCATGATGGGCCCCGTCCAAAAAAGCTGCAACGGAATTGTACAAGAATACACGCATTTTTCAGAAAAAGAAAATGTCTCTCCTTTCCAGTGAATGGAGGAAATCGCAGCTTTTTAAAATCCAGATATTGGTTTGAGGAATGCAGAGGTGATGGGGCCTGGACCGCTTTCAGGTCCTAGGGAAGGCAACTGAATCAGCCCTCCACCCCAGTCCAGAGTCCTTGCCCTGCAGGGGAAGATAAGGAGAGAAGACAGGCAGAGAAGCTGATGGCTGTAGACGCTGGAGCGTAGAAAGGGTGACCAGTAACTGCAGGGAGACTTTTTTTGGGGAAAAAAACACCCTTATCTACACATAACCATGCCATACTAAGGTTCCCCCTTTTTAAAAGTTAGACATTGTTAGATTTATACGGTGGTACGTTGGGAGGAAAATCTCAAAGGGTTCAATTGAGACGCTGGTGAAAATTAGAGGCCAAAGCGCATAGTACAATACCTCTGAGCCAATATAAGCTTTGCCCTGAATTAACTCTGGTGCTGCATATGCAGGACTTCCACAGCAGGTGCTCAGATGGTAATCCAGACCACCCTACAAAAGCAACAAAAAGAATAAGCCACACTTGCCAAGGTATGTAAGGTGACAGTACACGTCACACCAATGTGTGAACACTGAATTTGGTAGATCTTGTCAGCTTAAACATCTGAGCTCCTAAGAGCAAAACAGAGTGACTTGTCAGGCTTAGAGCAGTTGATAGCAACACAATTTATCTTTAGTCTGTTTACAGTCTTACCGGGCAGGCATAGGGGTATGCAAGCAGGTCACAATTTGTGTGAGTTTGAATAATGCGAAATTCGATTAAGTGCGAATTGTAACCTAAGGCCAGGTTGCTTTTCATGAGATCCAAAATTCAGTTAATACGAGGCTAGCATGTGTGCAAGTTGGGGTTTTAGATACTGCTAATCTGGCTGGGGAATTCTGGGAGTTGAAGTCCGCACATCTTAAAGTTTCCAAGGAACTTTAGGAACCCTGCATTAGAGCAAAAATGTCATGTAACTGAATAACACGAACATGGTCATAGCAATGCTTAAATAAGATGAGATGTGGGAATGCCTGAATCGATGGTAGAATTTATTTTGTTTTTATTTTGCTTTTATAACTACCCTGTGACTTTGTTAACCATAAATTTAAAGTATATTGTTTTTATACTTTACTGTAATATTTCATTAATATACACATAAACATTTCATTGCCTATTTCCACTGAGCTAGAACCAATAACCATATTTTCCATAGAAATATCACTTCGAATAGCATGAATTCGAATAATGTGACCACTTTGTGGGATCTGTTTTTACTACACTGAGACCTACCTGTACTTTCATTTATGGCAGTGTTTCTCAATCTCAGCAACTATAAAATATGTGGACTTCAACTCCCAGAATTCCCCAGCCATTCATCATGGAAGGAACACTGAGATAGTACCTATTAGAGTTTAGTAAACTTTTTGCTTTCCAAGAAGTTCTTACTTTTTGTGTGTGTGTGTGTGTGCCTTTGATTCAGTGTTGACTCCTGGTTCCTGCTTGGGCAAGTTCCTGCAGTTTTCTTGGCAAGATTTCAGAAGTGATTTGCCCTTGTCTGCTTCCTAGAGTTGAGGGAGTCATTAGCCCAAGGTCACCCAGATGGCTTTATGCCTAAAGCAGAACTCATAGTTTCCAAGTTTCTAGCCTGTGCCTTAACCACTGTGCCAAGCTGTCTGTCTCTCTCTTGAAACTAAGATTCTAAAATTCTGAGCTACACACACTTGACCTTCAGTAGTATACTTATGGGAAAGTTATGACAGAAGAAAGAATCCAAACAGAATGCATTGATTAAATACAGGTGATTTGTTTGGAGGTGAAACTGCAGACTTCTCTCCTTGTTCAGATCAATACCGTTTGATACTTTTTATTCTTTGCAAAGCAGCTAGAATGCAAGGAACTCTAGCAAAATTAAGGTCATACCCACCCTTGGTTTTGCACAGAGACCAAAGTCTATCAGCTTCAAATTATGCTCAGCATCAATCAACAGGTTTTCCTAAAAGGAGAGAAATGAGAGGTTAGAACAAGTACAATCAAGCACAGCCCAAGAATAACTATGGGCAGTAAATGCAGCTCCAAGGAAGCATCAAGCTTCAGTTCAATCAAATGCACACATATGAATACAAAACATGAACAGCCAGCTTAGCTGAAATTTGAGAACTTGCAAAGGAAGAATGTGAAGATGTAGGAAGAGGTCTTGGAGGGTTCAGAAGTCTAGAGATAATGAATCTCTCTCTAGGGCAGTGTTTCTCTACCTTGGCAACTTGAAGATGTGTGAAGTTCAGAATTCCCCAGCCAGCATGCTGGCTAGGGAATTCTGGGAGTTGAAGTCCACACATCTTCAAGCTGCCATGGTTGAGAAACATTGCTCTAGGGAAAGACACCAAAGCAGACTCTGCACTGGGGAAACAAAGGAAGAAGAAACTAAATAAAAGCTTGAAGGAAACAACACAATGTACCAAGCCAAAAAGGGAGTTAAAAATGGGAAGAGATTGTAGGCTCTAAGAGAATTCTAGGGAGTTTAGTGAGATAAACTAAAAAAAGTAGACAAGGAAGAGGAATGGGTATGGGGAAGTGGAGGTGAAGAGAGGGGCCAAGAAAAAGGTGGAAGGTTCATAAGAAAGAATAGGCAGACAAACCTGGAGGCCCATGAGTTGTGAATCAGAGAACCTTGAACTCAGAAGGCAAATTCTATTCATTTGTGATTTCCACTGCCAGCCAAGGAGCAACAGATGTGATGGCAGTGAGGCCTTTTATAAATTGGTTTGAACCTGTCATGTAGTTCTTTGGCTGCAGGCTTCTAATAGAAATAAAACCAGCAGCCAGCAGTGAAGACCATCTGGGCGCCAATGTAGATTTGGCTTATTACTCTAGAACAGTCAGCTACTGCTGTCTACACTTACTGGCTTGAGGTCCCTGTGAGCGTATCCCTGGCTGTGTACGAAGGCAATTGCAGCTACAATCTGACGAAAAAAGATGCGGGCTTCATCTTCAGCTAAGCGATCCTTTGCAATTATATAATCAAAGAGCTCTCCTCCAGGGCAGTACTGCAGAGGAGGAAAGAAGCAATCATATTTGGGAGAAATTGGCTAGTTGGGAATTACAAAAAAGAAAAAAAAAAAGCAATGTTGTTAGCTCTCCAAATAAACATTTAAGACAAGAAAAACCATCAGCATTTCACAGGGCCTCAGTTTTCCAGGCCCTGGTGGACAGCTGAGAGATGCCCTGCACTCATTCCTTTGTCAAGGGTTATATGTTGTTGGTATGCAGGGTTGAAGTGAATGGTGGACGTGCCCAGAGCCAAAAGCATATCACTCCTCTTCAGTGAAAGAAAGAGACAGGGTAACGCTATCCAGGGAACTCCATGAAGGACAAAGTTAGATACATCCTTTGCTTTCCTTCTTCATCCACTTATGAACTTAGGCATGAAGACAGACAACCTTCCAAACTACTGGAGATTGGAACTAACACCACAATGTAAGTTTCCTGTTCTCTTCCCCAGCAGCAATAGACACCTACTGAAGGAGAAAGTTAGAGTACACCAACCCATATAGATATAATTGTTAACTCTTCCTTTAACTTAGCAAGTGAGTTCTGTGGTAAGACAATTTGGCGCAGCGGTGAAAGTGTTAGGGTCAAGTTCCACCTACTTGGTTCTCAGAGGCAAGACAAGATAACAATAATAACACTTTGATAATGATATTAATAATTCCTGCTGTCTTATTCATTTTGGTTTTAACCTAGTTGGCCTTGAGAAAAGTGCTTTATTAGTTACTGGGATGGGAAACCACCATGAAATCCAAGGGCTTTAGACTATCCTGGAAAGTAAGAAGAAGGGAACACCAATCTACTCCTATATTTTGCCAGGGAAAAAACATGGACATCTATCTGGAAATCATTAGTTCAAAATACTACAGGTATTATCTTTTTTTAAAAAATAATTTTATTAAAGTTTAAAGATAACAAAGATAAAAACTAATACAAACTAAGAAAAATACTATAAAAAGTAAAAAGAAAAAATGCAAAGAAAAATAAGAAAAATAAAAAAGATATATAAAGAAATGACTTCCCCCTTCATCAAGACAAATACAATTTCAGTAACTTATCACCTTCTCTGACATTTCAACAAAAGAGCTCTTCTTCCCGTATCTCATCTCTTATCTATAAACAAATCTTTAAAGCCTTGTCATTTGGACCTAGTCAAGAAGAATCCATTAAAAGCTACCAGAAACAACATATGTATAACCTTGATCAAATAAACCCACTTTGTATTCCTTTCTTTTACTTTTAAGAATCTTGATCTTTAATCCCTTCAAATAGTGTCCCACAAGTTGATTTCTTATCATTTTCTCTTTGTCTCCTCTCAGAAACTCCCCTTTAATTATTAAGACATCTGTCAGTTTCATTTGTAAATCCAGTGTAACATGGTTTTCCATATCATTCTTGTAGCCTGACATTTTTAAATCCATTTTCAGGTCCACATTCAAATCAGCCTCAGTCTGTTTCATCCAGTAAAATCTGTTCTTCTTCCATAACTTCTTTTGAATCCATTTTTATAATAGCAGAAAATCTTAAGAATAATTTTTGAGTGCATAGTTCCCAAATATCCTTGAATTCTTCCACAAATAATATTACTCCATTCTGTGTTAATGGGTCTCGTCTTTAGTTCTTTCTGATCCCCTCTAGTCAAACTTCAAAGTCCCCTCTTATCTTATCTTTAGAAAGGTATTGTCTTTCTAAAAATTACTCCAACATGATTAGTGGAATGTACAATATTATTATTATTTTTTTTTAAGAATGGGAGTATCTTTTTGCTAGGACAAACTATCTGATGACAGGAAAAAATAACCTATCAATCAAGTATTACCCAAACCACATTTTTAACGGCCCCTAGAGTTCCCTTTGACTATCCTGCTGACCTCTTGAGGCAGAAAATAGATTTAAAACACTGTAGTAAGAATCCTACAATTGGCTTAACACAAATACAAATACAAGGCAAAGAAAAAAATATTAGGAGTTTAATAGCCTATTTGCTTTTAAAAAAAAAAGTATTAAAATTTTTTACATGTATAATACATTCAAATAAAAAATATAGATGTGAAAAAGAAAAGAGAAGAAACAAAGAAAAAAGGAGATAGAAAAAAGAAAAAAAAAGATCAGAACAGAAAACATGAAAAAAAAAGTATTAAGAAGTGGCTTCTGGTCTTCTTTTTATAACCTATTCTTTCTAATCATCAAAACCACAAGCCACAAAATTATTTTCTTTATGCAAAAAGTCCATAAGAGGTTTCCAGTCATTGATGAATGCCAGTAGTGACCTTTCTCTAATCAAAGAAGTCAGTTTGGCCATCTCAGCAAATTCTGTCAATTTCACCAATCATTCCTCCATCTTTGTGCATATAATAATCTCACTGCGGTAATCATATATTGAAATAATCTTCCATGACTTTTTTATAACTGTGTATCCATCAGC